TCCTTTCTAACTGTTTATCAAATTGGCCTTCTCATCATTTATTTCTTAAGATTAAATAATATCAATCAGGATTAATCTCATAAATACAATTAAATAAGAAGGAAATGTATTAAAAAAATATTTTGTGTTGTGGAAAAACTTTGAAATAGATTTAAATATTATTATAAATGACTACTGTAATCAATAGAATTTTATTATTTCTTAAAAGGAGGATGTAAAAAAAATCTGTAACATTTGATAGTTATGATAGTAAATTGAGTATTACATTACATTTATAAATGATAAGATATTGTTTAATTTTAGTAATAGAACTGCTTGAATCAAAAATAAATCACTGGTAATGAATTTTAGAAAATGCCAATAAAGTTTAAACTTTGAATCAAGAGTTAATTGACAAAAATTGAATGCTACTCCTCCACTTTATTATATGAAAATATATAAAAAATTGTTTCACAACAAAAAGTTAGTGTGAATGTAGTAAAAATAACTGAATATTAATTAGATATGCAGTTAAAGAGTATAATTGCCGCATTGCTGATGAAGATTAAACATTTAAATTTCAGCAAATTTAATCATCATTACGATAGGCGACAATCAATAATGCTAATAAAATAACAGAAATATTAAGAATCAACATTCCTTTCTATAATGATGATAAAATCAATTTTGTGATTAAAAAATACAACATCTAAAAAGATTAGTTCAAATCTCTTTTCATAATCAAACAATGATCCATAGATTCTAAAATTATAATTACTTTTATTTCTTGAATATCAATTTCTTCTCTAAATTAAATTTAATACACTAATTCTTAACATTAGTAATTTTTTCATTTATATTTTGTAAAATATATAACAAATTCATTTAATTTTTATAAATTGTCCAAAATAATATAATATATCAACTTATTGAAGCTGATCTTTTTCGTTCCAAATAATGATTAAAAACAACTTGAATTAATTAGATTTAGAATTTCTCTTTTTCTGATTCCGTTTTATTAGAACACTTTAATGAATCCAACAATATTTAAACTAATTCCATTTCATTTTTTATTACGTATTAATATTAAAGGAGATGTGACATGTGAAAATTGATGTGCTTCTTTTTCTATCAATTAAGCTATATTTTATAATAAAAATAATACAATATCTTGTTTTAATAAGAATAAGGTGTATGATTATGACAATTACAATTTATGTGCGACCGTTTTGCATTCAGAATGTTTACATGGAAATTAATTTGAAAATCTTCCTTAAGTTTTCTTATTGAAAATTTAGTTATAGATGTCTATATAATCTAATTCAATTATTTCTAATATTTTTATATTTTATTATGGTTTATATTTAATTTCCTCTTTTCTTTATTATTCTTAAAATAATGCTGGTAAGTATTGATTTTTTCCTGGCTTTTAAATTGGTTTTTAACCTACTAAATGAGGTGATTGATAATTGTAAAAAGTATTTTAGATTGGTTATTATAATTTTTTAAAATTTAATTCCTTTATTTTCTCATCTTTATCAGCTTGGAATGATAAATTTGCAGCTCTAAATGGTGATTTTCCAGCATTTTCTTAATTATTATTCAAATTAAACTATTATCTTTGATTGCCAATTTTGATATTCTCAAGAAATTATTACATTTTTTTTTTAGGTGCGTTTTTTTTCATATTTATTAATCCATAATTATAAAATTGATAATCTATGTTTTGTTAATCATTCCTTTATTATAAGATTTGGTCTTCCTTTTTTTAAAGATTTCGGTGTTGTAACATATTTATGTCTTATAATGATAGGATAGATTTACTTTTTATTAATCACAATAACCTTAATTTATTTGTTTTTTTTAGATTGAATTGTCATACTAATTGGTTGCTTTAACAATAGGTAAATCCTTTTTAGGTATTTCTACAATCTTATTGTATGTGATATTGTTAGGTTTGGCTTAATTGTATTTATTAGTTTAATCGTCCTTTTTTAATTCTTAAGGTTTAGCCTAAATTGGTTAAATTTTTTATTAAATTGTTTCAGTATTAGTACTTACATCTGCTTTTTATTTTGAAGAACCACTTCCCATTAAAAATTCCTTTTATAATAATTAATAAATTTTCTATTATTCTTTATATAGTGTTAATATAGATGAATATTTGAAATTATCATATTAATTTTTTATTTAAAATATTCTACTTATTAACATGATATATTTTGAACTGAGGCTATAAATGTATTAATAATGAGATTAATTCTTAAATGGAATCTATCAATATTACATAAATAAAGATCGATCCTTTATAAAATAATCAAAACTAAAAAATAGTTTGGGTTTGGATAATTGATATCAATCTCACTCAGTATCAGATAATTAAACTATCAAAATGTTAAGGTGAAAAATCTATTACTTAGAATATTAAGTTAACTTGATTGATATAATAATTATAAAATCAAGTTAATTTAATATTAATCATCCTTTAAAATTTGGAATCTCAGAAATAAGTCATTTTTAGGAAGATATATTATAAAGAAGATTGTTTCCAATAGGTTAAAGTAAAATTGAATGGAGTTTGGGTTCTCTAAAAAGTATGAGTTTTAAATTTAGAAATTTTTAAGTATCGCTAACTTTTCAAGTATTCTTTACAACAAGAGCAGTTTATATTTTATTAAGATAACTTAGAAAAATAAGACTAAAATTGAAATTCCCCATATGTCAATTTTGACAAGAAAAGCGCTTTGAATTTAATGCAAAACAACTTTAGCCTTCCTATTATTCTTATGATAAAGCTCATTCAGAATTGAGTAATATAAATTGTTTTATGATAATTAAATATCGATTTTACTCTGTTTATTATTCAATACAAAAGATTTACAAGAATAAATGATATATACTCTCATTATTACAGGGTTTACAACAACTATTCACAACAATCAAAAATCCAGAATTCAATTAGTTAATTCTATCACAAACATACACTTGTTAAATTCCAATTAAAAAATTTAGACTAAAGCTATGTAACGATTTAAAACTTATTAAATTCCAAATTATCATTTAAAGTGTAATTATGAAGTTTTAACTAATCATATGTCCATTTCAAAATTCATATGAATTTTTTTGAGTCCAAACTATTCCTAAATAAATACCCTCATTACCATTATTTTTTCTCTCAATTTCCTTATTTCTGATACACATTTTAAGAAATACAATCCTCTCTCATTAATCTGTTATATTCTCAATCACATGATTAAGAATTACTATTGAACTAATAATTTTATCGAATTATTTTTTTATTTGGAAAAGATTTTTGATTCTAATTTCAATTTTATTCGATGGAAGCTGAAATGAATTTAACAATATTCAATCATATTTAATGTAAATAATTTAATTATTTCAAGATTTAATGTAAATAGAAACTTCTCCAGCTTTTTTATCTTTGCAGTAATATTATTTGATGTAATCGGCCTTTCATTTAAGCAACATTGTTTAAACTCATATGTGATTATGACTTCAATAATATTATTAAGCCTATGTGTATGAAATAAGTCTTTTTCTTTGAAATAAAAACCAAATTTAGGAAATGATTACTTTATTTAAAGCACATAAAATTATAAAGCAAAATTATACACAAAAAGGGAAAAAAATTTAACCATAAAGGTTATAAAATCTAAGAGAGCAAACTTTATTATTTAAGGTTTTATTTCTTCTTAAATAAAACCCTAAACTTAACTGCTTGGAAAGGCAGCAGAAATTGAGAGCGATAAATATTTCATAATATTCATATTTGCTAATATAAATTCTAGTAATTCAAGTGCTAAAATAATAGTTTAGGTGCTATGATATTCAACTTCAAATTTTTATCTCAAACAAGCATAATTGACTCCTGCTTTCGTTATTGATATATTAGCGACTCCAGATTGTTAGTATGAATTATTTTGTCATTTTCAAGCAGATTTTCGTTTAAGTAGAGTTTCGAAATTGGAGACAGAAAGAGAGTTAAATCGCTAGCTCCTTAATCTATCAACATACTCTCAATCCTTTAATTTTTTATTTAATTTTTATATTACAAAAATAAAATTATGTGTTTTTATGATAAATGAGTGATTATAAATTAAAATAGATTTAAATAATAAAAAAGAATATCAAGAAGTCTGAAGATGTAGATGAAATTTTATTTGACTATACAAAATTAATCCTGGTTTATAAATCATTTAAATAATACCTTCGATTAGTTCTAAAATCTATTTTATTCTCCAGAATATAATTACTATATCATTTGATGTTGAATATTCCAAAACTAAAATATTATTTTTTGGATTTACTTTTCTAAGAGAAAACCTCAGTCTTTCAAAATTTAGTATAGCAATTTGAGATTTATGAAATATTCTAAAATTCTTGTATTAATAAATTGAGCTTATTTAATTTTGATTATTTCTATTAATTTCGAATGTTATAGTTATGTTCCTACAAATCAAATAAATTAAGTAAAACTTATAAATCTGAATCTTCACATTTTTTATAGAATTTATTGATTCCGGATTAGGAAGTATTTGTGAATATTAATTTATGGTAAATCTGCCTTAAATCCTTTAAAATTATACTTAAAGAATTTTTTTGTAAATATATTACTTTAACATTTATTTCTACATTATCTTCTAAAGGTCACAATTACCATTATCATTATTTTTTAAATATAGTAACAAAATCCATCAATAATTCTTAAAGTCTAAAATTCTTAGTTAAAGTTAAGTTATATTGTAAAAAAAATAATATATGTTTTCTGAAGCATCTTCTCAATTTTGTAACAAAAAAAAGCATTAAAAATTACCAAATTCAATTCTTTATAATTAACAATTCCACCTTATTCTAGATAAGTTTTTTAGACTTAAATTTCAAATAAATTTTAGGAAAAATGAGGATATTTTAAGATTTTGAGTTTCTTTTTATACCATCCTTACTTATTAGATGGCTTAGACTGAGAGATTTCAAATTTTATTATAATGAGTCACCTTTTAATACAAAAATCAAATTCTTGATATATAATGTCAATTACAATACTTTGGATATATTTATAATGCTTGATCTGCCCAAATTTTTGCTTCCTAATATTTAACAAACAATCTTATAATAAATAATTAATGAACATAAAAAACTTCTAGTAAACAAATTAAATAATTAAGATACCTGTGCCCCTTAATGATGATTGGTTTTTTAATTAAAATTAATGATTGCTCATTACAATATCTACCTCTTCAATATTTTTATCATCTCAATATAATTAGTTTGAATCTTAGAAGTTAGTATATAGCTTAATTTTATAAAGTGATTATCTACTCAATATCATTCTTGTGATATATAATTAATTTTAAATAACACTGAATGAAATATTATAAATTTTTTTTAATGTGTTGAATTAAATACTTTGTGTAAAGAAAGAATTAATATATTTAGAATTCAAGCAATGTAATTATTATTTTTATTTTAAATCCTTCGATCTATATCCTTATTAGATAAATTGAATTATTGATTAGCAGATTCCATTTTTTAATTTAACTGTTTAATTGAATCCTCAAATTCTTTTTCAATACTTTAAATATATTCAAATATGAATGGTAACTCATCAAATTTAAGGATAAGAAACAAGAATTTCATTCTATATAAATAAACACTATAAAGTCTAACTGATGTATAAGATTCTTTAAAGCACGTTAATTTACATTATCGGCATTATCTAAATTCGAAAATTTGTTAGTAGCTTCGTTATTTTGATTCATAATTAATATTAATAGAAATTTGGATTGTATTTCTTGTAAAATTTCAGAGGTCTTTTATATAATAAATAACTTAATTCAAATATTATTTAAATATTTATATAATAAATAAAAATTAAATTACAAAAATAAATATCTACTAAGTAAACTTAATTAGAATGTATATTAATTATAATTTTTTATTACGATTCAATTTGTATATTATGTTTAAATGAAAAATTAAATCAGGGTTGAAATTTAAAAAATCCCAGGAACCACCTCTATCATTTATTCGGAAAATAGCTCCCAATAACCTTGCCCCCAGCTTCAAAAATATTCTTTGACTTTTTGATATTTACAACTAGTACTAAGTGTAGGAGTCCTTAAAAATTTTTAGAAGGATTCTAAAAAGATAATGAAACACAGAGTTAGGAATGATCCGATACACAGATATAGAAGTGAGGATATATTTATAGAGGTTTCAATCCAGAAAATTAAAAAATGATGTGAAAATATCTGAGGCTAGAAATTAGCTTATAAATTAATCCAATGTGGTATAAGCACCAAGTTAAAATGAGTAAAATTTTTGTTATAGTTTATATTAAAATAATAAAAATATGTAAGTAACTAGATGAAAGGCTGAATGAAAATATATTTACTTGATTGAAAGAGATATGAAATGAGAAAAGATATAGATTAACCAAAAAGTAATTTATTCATGAATAATGAAGGATAATATCTTATTAACAGTTCAGGAAAGAATAATCACACTGAAAAGGAAGTAAAAAATTATTAATGAAATAAAAAGAGGCTTAATGAAACTCAATGAACAAAATCTCAACAGTATATAATGATTATGATGAGATTGTTAAGTAAAATATTGATTTGAAAGAGGAGAGACTACAAAAATAATTACTGAAACTCTCAAACAACTTTTAGGAGTTATAAAAATTTTCTAATTATTATATAACCTCAGTATATCAATTTCTTATTATTGTCACTAAACTCTGATTATTGATACATCCAAAGATTTGCCTCTATAGGGATTTTTATATGATAAATGCAAAAAAATAATATCTTGATATTTTATTGAATTTTTTTCAAATAGTATCCGATTATTATTCATAAAGTATTTTAAATTTAAGGAATCTTTCCGATATGTAACCGTTTTGCCTTTGACTATTTTAATAATGCAAGTTTTTTATTATATAATTTTTCATTACAGGCTCTTTCATATGCTATTTAAAGAACAAAAAATGTGACTCAGTAAATTTAATATTGAACAAGTCATAATTAAATTCTATAAAATAGGAAATTATATAATATGAAATTTGAAAA